ATTGAAAAATTTCTCGAAAAATATTTTTGCAGATTCTTCAATGTACTCTCTCCTTCTGCGTACTGCATCTAATTTATCTGTTGCTTCTTCAAGTTCTTGTACAATCTTTTCTCTAGACGGAATGGAATCTTGAATCTCCTTAATATCAATTTGTAACGCTTTTATTTGTTCCCTCAATTTTGCTTCTTCGTTCTTGAAGTCAGTTTTAATCTTACTGATGAGATTCTTCTTCTTCTTTATTTCATCGCTCCAATCCTCTTTCAATATTTCCAACTTTTTTTGAAAATCTTCTAATTTGTTGGAATTTAATTCAATTAAAATTTCTTTCTCAATGATTTGTTTCTCCATTAATTCTTTGAAATCATTCATTAAACCAACTTTAGCATGTAATACATCCATAATTTGAGGATGTGACATACCAGTTTCCGGCATTTTTAATTCTTCCAAATCGACACCCATATCTCTGCTAAGGTGCATAAATATTTCCTTATTATATGCTAAGACCACCTTTGTTAAATTGTGGTTAATCGATGCTAATGTAATGTCCATTGTATATATATCTTTCTTTATGTCCTGTAAATGCTCATCAAATTGTTGCATGTAATTCTCAATCTTTTTGCACTCCTCCAGTATCTTATTTTTCTCTGTGTTAGACATTGGCTGTTGCTTAATCTGTATAATTAAATTGTCACGGCATATGTTTTGCAAACGAATCTGTTCATTCAGAACATTGCAGTCAGCATTTATTTTTTCTGTGTCAGAAATAATTGTTTTTACATAATCTTCTTTTGCTCTGATATCGCTGATCTGCTTCTCCTCGTCATTTTGTAAACTTTTGAGAATTTCCTGTAAACGACTTACATCTTCATCTATTTTCTGCGTCTTTTCTTCAACAGTCTGTAATATGTTTTCTTTCTCCTCTAACTCACATTGTACAGTAGTCAAGTCTTTTTCAACAAGACCATGCTGATCTGTAAGTTCTTGCAAAAACTTCTCAACCATTGCTGCTTCCTCATCAAGTTTTAAATCATTCCAAGCATTGTACAACTCAATCATAGAGAAGAAGGTATTCTTGTACATATTAGCTTGCCTTTCATCTCCCATGAAAGGTAAATTATCTAAATTATAATTTTCCAGAGCTGCTTCTCTAACTTCGCAAATTTCCACCAACCAGCAGATCCAGCGTAAAACATTGGGCCAGGAATGCATGGCATTAGCAGTCTTCAACCAAGATTTAGTAATAACACCAGGATAATGAAGCTTTTTAGCAATCTTTGGCAACTCTTCCACATAATTAGTATTTGTCAGAAATGATTTAATACCCAGCATTTTAACTAGATAAGCAGAAATTTCTACAAACATTTTTAGAGTAATAGGCTTTATACTACCATTGCTATTAAGCATATGAATAAGCTGATTCGCATTGAAATATGTATCTATCTTGTTAAGCATATAAGCCTGATAAGTTTTGTCCGTTAAGGGCCTTGTGTCTTTCTTGGAGCCTTTGGTTCCAAGACTGCTGATACGATCAGCAGATAAGGATCTGGGTCCAGTTGGTAAAGCTGAGTGAATTCTGCTGGAATTCCCAACCGAAAGCAGTGCAGAATGCTTTGCAGCATTTATGCGTGGTGTCCTTGGAGTTGTTGGTCCATGACGAAGTGGTGTTTTACCTAAAAAAAAAAAAAAAACAGTGTTAGCATCTTTTCCCATACTGTTCTACTAGTTCCCATACTGTACTAGTTCTATTATTTACATTTTTTTAAAAAGCAACTATGCGATGTACATGCGTCAGTAAAGTAAAATGCGCTACTTCGACAGTCTGCGAGTGTACCGTCAGTTGTTCACAGCGTTCAAATAGCCCGGGACTTTTCGACAGAAAATCTAAACAGCGCGATCGCGATGCTTGGAACTTAAACAGTTAAAACAAACGCTGTTGCGCTGTTCGGTATTTTTTGACCGTGTTTCTCAATAGTCCCTGAGACTTAAACAATTAATAAAATGTAACGAAACGAATAACGAACATTTACCTGTCGGTTTTATACTGGATGCCCTAGTACTAGTTCTGTCGCATGACTTCGTTCGAGGCCTGGGAATAAAAGAACTTTCAGCACCAGTGGAAGCCTTCGGTTTCAATGTGTCAGACCTCTTTGATTCAATCGTAGATATTCTTACTGGATTCGTAGGTGACCTACGACCCACCGAACTGCTTCGCATTTTTGATGACATATTCACACTTTTGCTTGATAAGTATACAAATATTTAATTAAATCTAAATGCGCGGGACAAGCAAATTGAATGACCGTTATAACAAGCGAAAAAATTAGACGAGAAAATCATCGACATTACATTTTAAGGACGACTGTGGCGCCCCTTGTGGATAAAAAGTAAAGCTTAGTTCGAGGTTCGTGCAACACTAATTGGTGAAGTGGCAAAACGTCCAAACTGTTAGCCAAATTATCGACAGTCGATTTTGACTAACAGTTTGAGCATTTTGAGTTTCATTTTTTCTCCGACAGAGGCGCATTAAGATTAAATTGAGGAGCTTTTCCCGATAAAAATGAGTTCAAACTCGAATGTAATTAGACATTTTTCATTGATAAGTAATGTTATGAAAAAAATATAATATTTTCGAAGAACGTTCTAATGATATCGTGTTTATACTCATTTTCATCGTGAGTAACTCCTCAGTCCTTTCGTAATATTTTTATGAAAGTATATTGAAAAATGTAAAAGTTTAAATTTGTATTCGTTTGTAATTCCCCATTTGCTTACATTATATGCTGTTGACGATCGCNAAACAAACGCTGTTGCGCTGTTCGGTATTTTTTGACCGTGTTTCTCAATAGTCCCTGAGACTTAAACAATTAATAAAATGTAACGAAACGAATAACGAACATTTACCTGTCGGTTTTATACTGGATGCCCTAGTACTAGTTCTGTCGCATGACTTCGTTCGAGGCCTGGGAATAAAAGAACTTTCAGCACCAGTGGAAGCCTTCGGTTTCAATGTGTCAGACCTCTTTGATTCAATCGTAGATATTCTTACTGGATTCGTAGGTGACCTACGACCCACCGAACTGCTTCGCATTTTTGATGACATATTCACACTTTTGCTTGATAAGTATACAAATATTTAATTAAATCTAAATGCGCGGGACAAGCAAATTGAATGACCGTTATAACAAGCGAAAAAATTAGACGAGAAAATCATCGACATTACATTTTAAGGACGACTGTGGCGCCCCTTGTGGATAAAAAGTAAAGCTTAGTTCGAGGTTCGTGCAACACTAATTGGTGAAGTGGCAAAACGTCCAAACTGTTAGCCAAATTATCGACAGTCGATTTTGACTAACAGTTTGAGCATTTTGAGTTTCATTTTTTCTCCGACAGAGGCGCATTAAGATTAAATTGAGGAGCTTTTCCCGATAAAAATGAGTTCAAACTCGAATGTAATTAGACATTTTTCATTGATAAGTAATGTTATGAAAAAAATATAATATTTTCGAAGAACGTTCTAATGATATCGTGTTTATACTCATTTTCATCGTGAGTAACTCCTCAGTCCTTTCGTAATATTTTTATGAAAGTATATTGAAAAATGTAAAAGTTTAAATTTGTATTCGTTTGTAATTCCCCATTTGCTTACATTATATGCTGTTGACGATCGCTGGGTCTTTGATATTCAAGGCTAGGTGTTCGGCTATGGATGAAACTCTGCGAGGAACAAGGGCGTTGGTTTCCAGTTCATAAGGGAAATGTTTAGGTTTAGACTTACCTTGTATGTTTATAGATTATACTATGGTTCAGATAAGCAATCTTCCACTCTCTAGTCTCTGTTCGCATCTGGACAACTCAGAATTATTCTAATCCTTTCGCATCTAGCATATGAATAAAAGTATCCACAAAGATAATTGAGAACTTAGACAAATTATGTAATAATAATAACAAATTAGATACTTCTAATATAATTTTTTATAATTTTTAAACCTGTTTGTCACATAAAATTTGTATATTATTGTGATCAAATCTCGTGTCAATTTCTGTTATAGTTAAAAAGTTATACAAAAACGGCGTTGTATTCCTTACTCCACAATGCTGAAAAATTGTAATTATTATAAATAATTATAAAAATATTTGTTTGTACGCTTTTTGGTAATTGTTGTATGCGTTGATTACAAGGAGATTACTCGCTTTTATATTTTACATACATATAAAATACACATTTAAAAAGTAAAAGATAGTTCGTAAAATTATATTTAAATAATTTTTTTATCAAAAATATCAATTAAAATTAATTAAAAATCATTGCTTAACAAATGTAAAAAATGTTTAATTATTACATATTTTCTTAGAAAGACTACATATTTAATCTAGTGATTACCTACAAAAACTGCTCAAACTCAGAGATTTAGAGAGTTAGAGTTAAGAATTATTGAAGATTGGTACAATTTACCGGCAAGACAAAGTAAAAAACTATATGAAACAATTCCAAAACATCTAACAAAGATTTTGACCTGCAATCTACAACGAAACTAGGCTGTGTTTGTACGTCTGGGTTACATAGAAAATTGTATTTCATTCGGACATCGATATTCTCACTTCTGGAACGAATAAGGACGAAAATTCCCGCTTGCATGAATTTGAGGCCCTGGAAAGGGTCTCTATTTACTTGCCGAGTCTATAAAGTCACGTGACTACCCTAACCTCTTAAAGGTTGCAAGCTTAGGTTACAATTATTTCAGCATGTATAAAATTGGCACATGTAAACAACGTTGAGTTTTTACATCATAGATGTATATGTGCAGTTGGAAACTTACGATTTTTACATTTGAGATTCATTCATTGCATTATGGCGTGAAATGTACGTGAAATAACGAAGGTTTTGGAAATAATTTGCTATATATTTTCGAATATAGTGTTTTATTATTAACAAAACATTCCCAAACGAAAATGTTGAAACCATTGTATAGTTCGTTTTGCAGAGCTAATCTGGAAAAGGTAAAATTAATCTTATCATTTTACAATAACAATACAGAATAATATAAGAACAATAAATTTTCAGTTGCATTATTGGTGGATGTGCCCATCTAATGCATTCTCCAAATCTACAACAGGAAAATTGACACAAGATAGCGATGAAAAAATAGTATCTAAAAAGTGTGTATAATTGTTATTAAACTATTTGTTATCAGATACAATTTATAATTATTTTATAGTAATTGATTTATAAATATTTTAAAAAATCACAAATGCAATAATATCCTATTACAGTGATGATGAAACTGTCAACTCTATGGATAAGTTATCATTAAATAATATCATGATCGACATAGAAAAGAAAGTAGTTAAACAAAAAAAGAAGCGTAAGCAAACAAAACTTAAGACAACACCTAAAATAGTAAAACTGGAGGTATACAATATATTAACTATTGGTAGTTAGTGCTCACTATCACCGATCAAACATCCAGATTACACTCCTTCTTTATCATTGTTCAAATATGAAACTTTTCTTGTACATTATAATTTATATACATTAAAGTAATTTCCAATTACTATAGATGCCAAAAACAGTATTAGCAGTTCACGTTGGTGCTACTATGCTAAGCTGGACGCTTCTAGACTGCAATTACAATGTGTTGGATGTGAACTGGCATCGTTGGAATAATCAAGCAAATTTGTATGATTTAATAACTTTAGTAAGTCATTCACTATCTAAAGATGTAGCTAAACATGATTACATGATTCCTTGTTTTCTATTAGATATCAGCTATAACTCCAACTATACCTATAGCTGCTACATATATAGTAGAAGATACTTATATTCCACATAAAGGATCTTCCATTCAAAGATTACTTATTCAGCAACAACTGGGTGTTTCTATAATGTCTTGCATTTTGTTGAGAGAGAGTACGTTTATGCTTTGCTAGTAACATTTCTTTCATGCCTATAGTAAAACATTGATTATGCAGCGTTTACCTTCCTAGGGCTATTATCAGAGTCATTGGAATCGACAAACAATATATACGTATTGCACACTTACTTCGCAGCAAAATGGTTCGGCTTAATAGTTGGACAGGAAATAGTATCATCCGAATATATTATGAAGAAGCTATTGGATGTATCTGCACAGAGAGATAATAAACTACATGTATCCATTAACTCGGAGCTTAAATTCAAGTATATGAAGTTGCCAGACGTCGAACGAGACCAAGTCAGTTGGTCCTTGTTAAAAGCTGTATCATTTTTGCATACAATCGAAAAGAAAAAAGAAAAAGAAATAAAGTAAATAATGTAAATAATGAATAAAAAGTAAACAATGAATTAACACCTTTTTTTTTTTTTACAAAACAAATTCATTAAAGAACCATAAGAACGAAGCGATATACAAAACCGACTGAGATTACAAAGTTGATTCAGTAAGTGGTAGCCAATGTTACCAAGGATAAAACTGAAAGAAAGCTAGGATTTGTGTATGGAGTAACACGAGGTGGGAGTACAGGTCCATTCATTTATTATATATTAATTTTCATTATACTATCTATTCATAGTACACTGTACGTCTAATGTTTCTCGCTTCTCGAATACGAACTCTCCTCGGGCAAATAAACAGACAAGTAACGTTTCGTCGCAATGTTAGGCGGCGTATGTATGATGTATGTATGTGTATATATATATATGCACACACCATCGTATGAATACCATATTTGAGTAAGTATACGAGAGCAAGATGTCAGAGTAGTGACTGTTTCGTGAACATATAGTCAACGAATTTGTACGATCAACTAAAAAGTACAGGTCTCGCACGATATCTCTGCACCGAAACTGGCGAAGTCGTCAAATCAGGTAAGGCTCGTCGAATAAGAAAATGATAGTAATCGCCGCTACTTAATCCGGCAGTGATGCTGTATAAGAAGCTTCGTTAACTACGTATCGTCGTCTAATCGAGCACGGGTCAAGGATACCGCATGGTTCTTCGCCGAAATTTCGCCTCTTCACATCATGGACCAGCACTTGCACGTGGCAACATGTTTGAACGGGAACCAAGGAGACGATGTTCATCGACTCGCCACGGAAACGTGAATGAATCAGTATCACTTGGTACAATCAAATTTATCAACATTTGCTGAGTCAATTAGTCTAATATGTGTAACTTAAGACTGCGGATATTTGCAAAAATTGAAGCGTCTACACAAAATGAATCAATAAAGTAGACGATACTCTGACGACCTGTGCGCTTAATTAGCCAGCCAGTGCTTATCAGCCAGTAACATACTACTTTTCGTTATGATAGGACCATATTCTGAAGTTTAAGCGAGAAAGTAATTTTACTATTAACAATTATGTGTACACTGGACAACTAACTGCAGTTAGCGTGTACTCAATAAATCCGTAAAATCAGCAGTCTGTAAGGTAAACATGGGAATCGGTAGCAACGGAGTCATATATGTACTTTTAACAAATTTTGTATAAATTAAGAACGACTGAAACAGTTATATTTTCTCATTTTGTTTTTAGCGTCGTTTTGGTATTGCCCAATTAAAAGAGGATTATTGGAGCCTCGGAACTCTATCGGTGGTATAGAAAAACGGAAAACAGTCCGCAAAGAACAACAATACAACTCCGATTCTCGTGTCCAAAGAATGGCCCAATGAAAAATTCCCCGATGCTCATTCATCACGTTTGCCGTTCTCGCGCGACCGCTTAATCGTGCCAATGAATCTACAACGAAAAGCATCATCAACCGCTCGTTCTTCGTCTTACTTCGGTTGCCAAAAGGATTACGAATTCACTAAACTGTCGTCGACATGACAGTGTATACTATACAATAAACTATACGTGATTGCACACGCGCCACTCTCTCGTGTTAGAATTCTGTTTTATCTCACAATCGCATCGCTGCCAGGTTAACGTAATTTTATAATTATTTAAAGTAATACCCGATCAGACAAGCTGGAAACGAGTCTCGACATATATATGTATATCGACATATCTAATATATAATTCTGTGTATATATAATATATCTATATGTATATATACGTATGTGCACGTTTTGTTTTTACGCTACAACACATCGTGAAACGGAAAAAACGTTTAAGTACGTTAGAATAATTACTATCTTCATTTTTTTTGTCGTTTCTTTGTTTCACGGTTTCTTCTTTGCTCCATTTCTTATAGTTTACAACACGTGTTTTTTTGTTTTTTCTTTTGTAACTCCAAAGAGAGAGAGTGAGAGAGAGAGAGAGAGAGTGTGAGTGAGTGTGAGAAATAGAGATAGAGATGAAGAGAGGACATTCTTACAAGCGTATACGTGTATAAAATCTAACCAGCTTAAAACGTACATACATCTCTCGTGGACCGCGCACCGGGGAGCGATATCACCAGCTCGCTAATTACATGCGATATTGATGCAGCTTTTGAGCGTCGCGGATTAAAATGGGGGGGACAGAACCGCGACAATCTCGGTGAAGTTATTGTTTTGCGATCGCGAATGTACGGCCGTTTTTCGGCCGGTAGACACGCAGAAATCGTTACGGTTACAACATTGAATGATTTGATATCGAAATCCGCAGCGTGGCTCGCCGTTACACGACCCAGATCGATCGGAAAAATTAATCACCCGGAGAACGATAATTTTGAAATGAATCTAGAGAAGGCGCAGAGAGTCACCAGTGAACGTGAAAAAAACCAAACTGGTTTCCATTGTTCCCTAGCGTCTCGCTGCCCCTTAGGTCGCGCGACCTTACGGAGGAAATACGGCATATTCTTAGTGCAAATTCTTTCGGAAAAACGGACGCCCGATTCTCGAGTTGATCGTGCAACGTGAAACAGCCTGCGGTCATCGCTTCTCGCAATTCCTCTCGCAGAACACACAGAACACTCGAATGATCCATTATACGAACGAAAGAACGGATCACGCTCGCGTATAAGAGGCTTTTCGTTTTGCTCGAGGTGTTTGCAGATACTCGTGCTCCGTTGAAATCCGGCTAGCCTCGCGAACGTGGCCCCGTTTCGTTAAACAGTTCTCGATACCCTGATAGTATTACGACAGCGTAATTGCTTTGTTTTATTCGGCGATCGTCCTCGGGTCGGCGCTCGATAAGGGGGGTCGGGCGCGATTCCGCTAACAAAGACGATCGTCGACGTGGTAGACAACAATTTTCTCCGCAAGTTTACAAAGTTACATCGTCCCGCGACATCTAAGCCCCTCGACGAAGGACGAACAATTGTTTCTCTTTTCTTTTTTCAAATGAAATCTACGTATCTAAGCCAGTCTTCCTTGCGTTCCTCTTCTTCTCCTTGTTCTCTCCCGGATTACAAGGACGTCGAACTCGAATATCTCTTCCGCTTCCTTCTCGGACTTACGCGAGTTATCTAGTCGAGCGAGAACGAAGCGCTCGTGGTCCACAGTCTCTTGGTTCTAGCGAGATATATTGATCAAGTGAAAATCACATAGAAATGCTGTCGATCGAAAGCGGATGGGACGGTCCACGGACGCGTCGTTCTCGCACGGTGTACTCTCTAAACATTCACTAGATGAGCAAGAAACGACTCTCCACTCGGTGTACACTTCAGATCTGAATTGGTTCCACGAGGCGGGGACACAAGAAAGATCCAGGAGCACTTGTATACGGACGAATCCCTGACGCGTTGCATCATCGCTGACGGATCGGATCGTTAACTTTAAGTTGCAACGACGGATTAACTTAAATATCTTTTAGGCAGCTACGGGAAACAAAATGGAGGATTAATGGATTGTCGAGTTGCGATCTGTCGCCGATTTTGCGGTCCGTGCACGGAGCCGTTGCGCCAGAATGCACCATTATCTTGCGTCGATGGCTGAGATCCAGCCACAACCTCGGCGCGTAACGTGCCCCGAGTTTTTATGAGCTTGTTCGTCAATTTCATTGCTCTCAATCCGTTGTTAACCACGTATATCGTAAATTAAATAAGTTATTGTTAGCTGCACGCGACACGGGACGATAGGAACTTCGGAAGAATTTAGAAATACTCGTTGAAGTGAATAAACTCGACTTCCGTTTCCTACAACTGCGTCGAAAACAATCTCGCAGGAAAGTTCACGATCTATAATTACTGTCGACAACGTTCTTCATTAAGGAAAGTTCGAACGAAAAGCGTGAAGAAGACGACGAGCAGAATCGCGGAACGCGATCGAACGATGCGACAATGCGCCGTTTGACGAGATTCATTGGATTTCCTGTGCAACAGCGCCGCTCGGGCCGCAATTAATCATCGGAACAATCTTGGCAGACGAAGTTGCATGATCAATCGTAACGCGAGGGTCGCGTCGGACGCAGAACAGCTTCGTGGAAATGGACGTCGATATTGGTACATGCGAAGACCGGAAATCGCATACAATAAACGGGACGAGTTGCAGCGATGAATTATACGCGCTATAGGCATCTCGTCCCGGGGTGGCACAACTGCATCATTGGGATCACCGGCGATATCGTGCAATCGCACCTTTCTGATGTTGCACCTGCCGCGAAGCGCGCGATTCTTCCCAAATGAACGTACACTGTCGACCATAAATAATGGCAGTCGTTAGTCAGACAGTCGGTGGTCGGACAGGTGTCACCAAGGAACTGCGTTTTGCAATTAGAATTACCGTTCCTGTAAAGGTATTATCACATCGCGGGGTCTGTACTGTACGTTATCAACAATGTGAAAATCGCGTGTCTCAGAAATTTGAATTCACCGTTAAAGATCTCTTTGATAGCAATAGCAGCTTTCGTCTTGAATCAACCGCGGTCTTCCTCGGAAACATAATCCCGCAACTTCTCTAATCCGCATTCCTTGAGTCCGTTTCCCGGCGCAGTAGAATAATCGAAAATTATAAAATTATAAATAATAATTCGTTTGATATCAGGAACATTTACTTTCATTCGACATAAATTATTACATTTTTATAGATGCAAGCAGCCCCGCTATTCATTGGGCACTTGCAAATCTGCGAACGGAGCGCTAATCACTGATTAAACTACTTAGGAGAGTGTCTGCTCATTGAATAACACTTGATCTAATCAGAAATCATGGCGAAGCCTGAAACCTCGTTACTTATCGAGCAGCCCCGGTAACGTGCAGATCCGAGAACAGTTTTAGAACAGTTCGATTGGTTCCCGGTGCTCCCCCACCACGGTTCCCAGCCTACTGACCCTGCCTCCGGCCGCGTGTGCCTCCGTAATTCGCCTAAACGGTGCCAAATCGGATTGCGTGACGACGGAAGGAAGCCAACTCGTCATCTTTGCGGCGCGCTTATGGCCGGCGGTGTACGGTCTCGAGGGATCCGAGGCCAACCATCGATCAACGATCGGTCGAGCCCTCCGGATTGGAAACTGGCTCGAATGATTTGCACGGAACGGCAGCGAGGCAGCGGTGGCCAATGCTCGGGGATCACGCGATCGCGACTCGCAATTTGCAACCCGCCAGGAGGACGTTCCGTCGCATAGCTCTGGTCTAGATCTCGGGTGAGAATTCGGATCGCCGCGGACACGAAACCGGAGAAGCTTCTCCTTTGCGAACGCGAAAACGAAAGATCCAGGAACCCGCCTGTGACAAAAAACATCGCGTCGACACTTGGTTCACGTCCGTTCGCGCTCCGAGTCCTCTCCTCTCTCCGAGTGCATCGCGCTGATTACGCGAGATTCATTACGCCGTTTGGGAACGGTTCGGGCCGGTTTCACCGTTGATTACTTTCAATGACGATGACGCGAATCGCACGAACCGCTCGGACGAAAATTCGCCGACGACCGCGCGCATGCAAATCAAGTAATAAATTACTGGCTCGGTCGTCACACTCATACACGTGCGCGCGCACACACACACACACACACATACATGCACACGCACACAAACATATACACCTACACAGACGGTCGCGCGCACGCACGCGGGTATGCACACGCGGTACGAGTCTCGCACGCGTGCATGTACACGCACGCGCGTACGTGCACTCGCATCGAAAACGTATACACGGACGAATGGGTGAACACGCAACACATGTATAGGAGAAGTCCACACACTTGGTTAGAGATACATACAGTACAACTTGAACTGGGTCAACTCTACTTAAGCGTTTACACTTAATTTATCGAATGTTGTTGGCTCACAAATAAGTACTCCGTCTAAATATACTTTTCAATTCGGTGTGCGAGAATAGGTTTCTATTTTCTATACGATATACATACATACGTATGCGGGCGAGCGGCAGAGTGGAAGTCGTTTTTTTTTATAAACAGGCCAAATTGCGGAATAGAACATCGTGCGTATTTCGCAGATTTTACCATTTGCGGTCCTGTGTCGGAATCGGCATGGATTTTTCTATTTAATGGACCAATGGTTATCCAAATATTAATCAAGAGAACACGAACGTTCGCATAATAGGACAATTACTCAGGTACATTGCTGGAACAAGTGTTTACCGATTAATTCCAATAAATAATAATTACATATGGATTTTCTTAGATTGAACTGTTTTCACGTGAAACGTATTTGGATAATCGCGAATTCGGATAATTGAGATTCTACTGTACTTATCGCTAGTTTGCATTACGTTCACGGATAACACCGCGATTACATGGCACGTAAGAACAATTGTAGCAAATCAATTCATCTGTTCAACATAGATTGCGAAATAGCTTATACACATGGTCGCATCAAATGCTGAAATCAGATCAGGCGTTTATACGAACAACTCCGACTTGTACTCTCCGGCCTGTCCGCCAATGATATGTTCATGTATATGTATGTATACATAGATAAGTCGCGTATCCATCTCTCTCTTGATAGCCCGATTTCCTTATCCCTTCGATTAGAGACGTTTATGATCGAGTCGGAGGCAGTCGGATGCGATCTACGATGGATCATAGCCGGATCGGTCTCGTGCCTCCATCAATTCCGCTTTCCATCGTTCTAGGTACTCTGTTTCTTAACCGAGTTCTTCTCGTTTGGAAGCTGTCCGTGATGAGAGAGCACGCGTTTCTAAGCACGCGCGCGCACGCATGAGAGGAATGAAACGCTCT